ATTCAATGATTTAATTTTACCCCAGGGCAAGTAAAAGGCAGTTTGAAAACACTGTGCAAAGACCCAAAGGATTATGACTCCAGTAGCAGAGTAGCTTATGGGGCTTGTCTGCAACAGAAATATATAAATAATTCCATCTATGAAAAAGAAGAAGAAGAAGAAAAGGTAATTTCTGCTATGGAAAAATGTCCTTGTGGTTCGTAAGGAGCTGTCTCCCACCTACTGTCCTGGTAAAGAGTGTGTAGCAGTTGGATATTCTGGGCAACTGTATTTAGCATGGACATCTTGGATCTTGACTTTCAAACATGGTTGCATTTTAAACTTTTCTTTTTTTTACTAAAACCTTTTACCCTTTTTTCACTTTGGGTGGTAGTTTTCCAGAGATGAGTCAAACTACTGGCAAGAAGAGTGTTTAGATAGTATTCAGAATTTTTGGATGCATGTTTTCCAGCTGTTTTGTTATTTCTGAACTGTCAGCGACATTTTATTAAACTTTTAACACTTAAAATGCAATTTCAGTTTTACTGTAACAGTAAACACCCCACAAAAGCTGTGTTTTATAACAGCAAAAGTAGTTACTAATGTAGAGATTTACAATGTGTCACATTTTAAAATGTCAAATAACTTGTGTGTATGTGCATGTGTGTATGTATGTATTCAGGACATTAATGCATGAACGGTTCTGTAAAAAGTGGCCTGGATTTCAGTCTGATTTTCAGTTTCTATCCTCTGCTGTGAATGTTGTAGCTATTCTTGACTTAGGCTTCTAAATGACAGGAAAATTATGCTACCTTTGTGTTAGATACACAGATAACTTCTATACAGAGCTTATCGTGTGCCCTAATGACGTCAAAATTACTAGTGAAGAAGTAATCATCTCTCTGTATCACCCAGCTCGATTTCTATTGAAGTGTTTGGAAGACCAAGGAGTTTCATTAAATACCAGCTGTTTGAAAAGCTGAAGCTGTCTTGAATAGTCAATGATATCACCAATTTAGCACCTTCTAATTATCCTGAAATACTCCAGAAATCTGGTCATTGTCTTTGCTCCTCCAATTGCAGCACATAATAGACTTCGTGACCATATAATAGTATATGCCTCTTCACATTAAATAACCAAACCACAAAACTTGTGACTTAATCAGTCGCAACTTGATATCGATATTGCAATTTCACTGAGTCAGCCAGTACTTTACATGTTTTTTTACGTGTCTGATGGATTATGTTCAGTTTTGTTGTGGGTCACGGGTTTTGGGGTTCTTTTTTTAGGTAGAAATGCAAATCCATCTGTTAAGAAAAAGTGGTAACAGAGGGGAAAAAACAAACAAAAACCTGAACAGCAAAGCAAACAAAAATAAGCCCTTTCCATTTGGGTTCTATGAATGTTGTACTCTCTGTATATGCTGGCATATGCTAAGCTTTTAAATAAGTGTTTTGAAGTACCTTACAACAGTTTAGCTCCATCTGCCATCCAGTTTTTGCTATAAAAGTGGCCAGCCTGATCATCTCCCATCTCATAAGGCGACTCAAACTCCTTTAGGCAAAATTTATTGCAAGGAGAAGCAAATTCCTTGAGTCAAATGGGCCAAATAGCTTGTTGACAAAACTGCCAGTGAACATATATGCTGGCTTCTTTTAAGAACAGAAAAAGATAAACCCAAAACAACACATTTGGTTGCAGCCAGAACATAAAAACACCTGCATCAAATTTTGCGAATATGAAAATAAGGAAACCTGGAAGCTGACGCTATTTTAGGCTAATTGCGTTTTGTTGGGTTTCAGGGGAGCGGTACATAGTAGCAACTGTGGGAAAACCACTAAATAGTTCTCTGTTTGAACCATCTGCCACGAATAGGGGACATATGCTCGCTTTGTTTATTCAGGAGCCAAGTAGAAGCCGATACACTGCGCTCGGCCCCGGCCGAGGGCTGGACCGCACCGCAGGGATGCGGGGAAGGACGGGCGGTGCTCCCCGGGGCCGCTGCGGGGAAGGACGGGCGGTGCTCCCCGGGCCGCTGCGGGGAAGGACGGGCGGTGCTCCCCGGGGCCGCTG